TTGTGTTTATTTCTGTGTAGCAGTTACGTTAAAGTTAATTGCGCATCTTCCCCTCTGACCCATAAGCTACTTGAAGTGAAGAACTGTGCATGTTTCCTCTCTGTGACTGCAACAAAAAGCATGTATATAAAAAATAGTAGCTATTCAATGAACACTTGTTACTTTAAACTGAGTAGTGGTGATATCCACGATTTGTTGAAGAGGGAAGGACTAAAGCCCAAAGATCAGTTAAGAAACCACTGCAACAACTCAGACATTAAGTAAAGAGTGTTTAAAGGGAGCAGTTTCACTGGGAATAGTAAGGAACTGCTGAAGTTGTTGGAATATGTGATTAACTAGATATGAGTTAAGAAGACATAGGTTGTTTGGGGGATTCGGGCTCAACTTACTAGAAAATAAGAGGGCTGTGAATTCTTGCTCTTCTGTAGCACTCCTTACCTGGGCACCATGGACTTCTAGAGAGGTCTGGGATATACTTCCAAGGGTCCTTGAAGCCCTGAAATTATTTGCAAGTTTATGCACGTAAGGTTATCTATGTATTTTCCTTGGGAGAGGTTTTATAGTTCTCACTGAATTTTTGGAAGTCTGGGCCTTTAAAGTTGTTAAGCACTACAGTTGTATTCAGAAGTATAGCACTATCCTAATAATAGCCATAGTCTTTCTGAGAGGTATCATTCTTTAAAAATATTGGCTGATGTGGCATCTCACAGCACCTTTTGTCAACTGTTGAAAACAGATTACTGAAAATAATATTGAAGACCCAGAGCCCTGCACTTTCTTGCTATATAACTTTAAGCACATTACTTTACTTTTCTAAGATTTTTCTTCTACTGTTAAATACAGTAATAATAATACATGCTTCTTACTGTTGGGATTCCATGAGATAATGTGTATACATTTTTTAGTATTCAATATTAGCTAAATGTTATTCATATTTTTATTCTCATTTAATTCTAAAACTTAGTCGCCATACATTATAATGCCAACATTGTAATAGATGCCCCCATCATGTCTCATTTAATCCCTCAATAAATTTGATAAAGACCTAGTTTTATATTTAGGTTACAGATAAGATGGAAACAGGTAAAATACCTTCCCTGTAGTCACACAGCTAATTAATTGCTGGACTAATACTAGAAGACGTCAGCCAGAAGTCTGAAAACAGGTGACTGTGGGGCAAGAATGAGGGAGCACGGAACAGAACAAACCATCAGTGAAAGGGTGAGCAGTAGGCTGAGAGATCTGGAGTAGCCATACCAAGGAGAGTTTTCAAAAGATATAAGCCTTAACATAGGTCATAAAGGGTCATCTTTTTGCTGGGTGGAAATTAATTCTAGGCTTGGCCAGTCTTGATCTATAAGTGGGTGAATGTAAGTTGTGTGTGGGTGAGAGGTAGGCAAAGAAAATGAGACTGGATATGAGAATAGATACGCCTTGACCAGCTGCAGTAGTGATTACAAAATGTTCATTTACTTTGGCCTATTGGACATGGATAAAAATGGGAATACTAGGTGTACATTAAACATTATGCAGATATATTTCATATGTAGCAGAAAGTATCTTAAATTCAGCCTGTGAGGTTAATAGATTATTTTAATTATTACACACACACACTCCCTCCATCCCTCCATGAGGTAATTAGAAAGTGACCAGAATTTACTGCGTATTCTCGTAACCATCTAGGTCTGCCTCTGTCAAAGATTGTATTGTATTTATCTCCTCGTGAGCCACCCTAAAGTTTGGTTTGGTTGGTTCCAGCTATGACCAGTATAAGTGATATAGTTTGAATTAATGTCCCCACCCAAATCTCATGTCAAATTGCAATCCCCAGTGTTGGAAATGCCGCCTGGTGGAAGGTGATTGCATCATGGGGGCAAATTTCCCCCTTGAGTGCTATTCTCGTGCTAGAGTTTTCAGGAGATCTGGTTGTTTGAAAGTGTGTAGCCCCTGCCCCCTGTCTTTCTTCCTCCTATTCCAGCCATGTAAGACATACCAGTTCCTCTTTGCCTTCAGCCATAATTGTAAGTTTGCAGATACTCCCCAATAACTAACAAATGCCAGTATCGTGCTCCCTGTACAGCCTTTGGAACTGTGAGCCAATTAAACCTCTTTTCTTTATAAGTTACCCCAGTCTCAAGTACTTCTTTATAGTACTGTAAGAATAGCCTAATATACCGAGAATGACTCAAGCCCACTGTACCAAAGCTGGAATTTAAGATAATAATAACACAAACCCAGAGGGAGATTGATCTAGACTTTTTTCATTAGATAAGAACTCCAGAGATAAGGGGAAAGGAAGGGACATTCCCCAGTAGGGCCTGGAGGCCAGAAGTAGGTCATTTTTAAAACAAAAATTAGGATTGTTTCTCATTTTTCTGCAGCTTTTACATGTGTAAAATTGGGTTCAGCCCAATGGTTACATTTGGGAGTGAATTACTACTGTCTTTTAAGCAAATAGGTATTATTTGTATATGCTAAAAATACATTTCATGATTTAGTTGCTAATTGTCTATCTAGCATTTTGCTGCTCATTGTTTTACCTTGGCCTGCTGCTCTTTTGACAATTTTAGATGAGGATCCAGGAAAAGGGAACGTGAACCACAGCTGCGAGAAATATGAAGACTCATAAACTTTGGAAGAGGGGCATTACATATATTGACCAATATGGTGGTACTGAATTACATTTTGATTAGATGGTAGTGGCAGTTAGCACATTAGCTTTGACTTCAAATGGACCTCAGTTTAAATCATAGCTCTGGAACCTATCTTGACCTTGAGCCTGGAAATTAACCTCCTCAGGCTTCTATTTTCTTATACATTAATGGAAATAATAATGCTGACTCCCTTAGATTTTTGTGAAGATTAAAAACTATACTTTATATTAAGTACCTAACATGTGGTAGTGCTTATTCACACGTGGCTATTCATGGCTCTCATAATTATGGATAATTAGGAATTGGCTGTAGATTCTACTTTCATTAGATGGCTGAATGTTTCTATTGCTGTAGGTTTCACTGGACTATATTAGCGCAGGACTATTACTTAAATGACTCTCCAGTAATAATTAGGCATTATTAGAATTTGTAATAAGTCTTGCAGTATTCTTGTCATTATCCTAAAATTATTGAACTATTATAGCCCATTTGTAGGGAGATTAGAACATATATTCTTAGGGCTGGGTGCGGTGGCTCATGCCTATAATCCCAGCACTTAGGGAGGCTGAGGCGGGTGGATCATGAGGTCAAGAGATCAAGACCATCCTGGTCAACAAGGTGAAACCCTGTCCCTACTAAAAATACAAAAACTAGCTGGGCATGGTGGTGCACGCCTGTAGTCCCAGCTACTCGGGAGGCTGAGGCAGGAGAATTGCTTGAACCCAGGAGGCAGAGGTTGCGGTGGGCCGAGATCGTGCCATTGCACTCTGGTCTGGGTAACAACAGCGAAACTTCGTCTCAAAAACAAAAACAAAAACAAAAACATATATTCTCCACCCTTTAAAAGCCTATACTGCCTTCAATTTGAAGACTGTGGTAATAAAAATGGGAAAAGAGCCCACCTTCCAAACCATCATGCTGCATATTATCTTTCTTAGTAGGAAGTTACAAGGAAGAAGTTGAAAACAGTTGGCATAGAATGAGCTATTTTCATTATCAGCAGATATTAACATGCATGTTGTGTCCATTCCCAGGTAAACAACGTTCTGAATGAGTTACCATCTTCCAAAAATACATATTATTTTACTAAGAAATATTTTACTCCCAGTAGAGTTCTGCCACAGCACGCTCATTGTTTTGGAGAATTATAATTAAGAAGCTCATTCAGTATTTGCCTATTAAAACAATGATTTAATTAGACTAATTACCCCACCTAATTTCTAGCTCTACATATGGGCCTACCTGCTGAATGAACGAGGATCCTTGAGCAGTAGTGTATACATACATTCTAACTGGGGAGCACAGGGACCAATGCCCAGAGGGCATAGACAAAGCTCTTCAGTGGGAATTGCTGGGCATTTTGCTGATGTAGAAAATATACGTAACTCCCTGTTTAAGATTATTACCTGTGTCTTTTCTTTCATAAAGAGTTCCAATCTGGCTTTAAAATGCAAATTAATGCTTTACGCTTCTATGAAGTCAGTAAATACTAGCTTCTTCCCCCGCCCCCCACCCCGCCCCTCTGCCACCTTTTTATCTAAATGGGAAAGTGAAGTTTAGTGATTGCTTTTGGCTTGGAATCATAGAAGATCAGTGGCTGAGAAAATCTTTTGGGATTATCTGGTTAAATTCTTTTTGCACAGGTGAGGCAAATTAAGGCACAGACTAGTAACCCAGACACTACATCCTAACTTATGGCTCTGTGTTGGAAGCACTGGCTAGTTCCTGTACTTTTTGTTTTTTATTTCCTGTGAAAGAAATCTGGTTCCCATTCCTTTATCCTTTATAGGGCCTGTTCAGAAGATATTAGTCCTGTCCATAAACTGAAGAATGTCACATCGACTGGGACAATGGGCAAGATGAATGATAGGTTATAAATGCTTCTCTGTTCCTTAATAGCTAACAGTCTTCTCCAAGGACTGTGAACTCCTGTTCCCCGCTCATCATGTCATGGAAATCTGCCAGGAACCATCTTTGATGGTGTAAAATCTTCAATACATAACAGGGAAATTCGAGTCTTGTTAGAAAGGAGCCACGCAATTGAGACCTTAAATAGAACTTAGAAATCTCACCTAGTTTTGTTTGGTAATTGTCACTTCAAAAAAGTACAATTTCTGTTCCCTCTTTCTTCCAACCATTTATCTGGGAAGTAAGATACTAGCAACCCAGAATTGATTGTTGGAGCTGGGGAAAATGTTGTGAAATGTGAGAAAATGTAATTGAGATAATAAAAACAAAGTATTTTACAATATATTGTCCTCCAAGTCATCCATTAAAAAAATATTGGTAGCAAAAATGTGCAGTGTTTTAAGACTTTTCTTTTTCTTCTTCTTTTTCAAATAACAGATTTAAAGTAGAACAAAAAGTAGACTTCAAAGATGTTTTGTATTCTTTGAACATAACTGAGATATTTAGTGGTGGCTGCGACCTTTCCGGAATAACAGGTAGTATGATAAGTATTTTTTATATTATCATGTTAATTTCTTTTGTCAGGACTGCATTAACTGAGCTTAAAACTGAAAGAGCATTCAGCTCTGGTAAATATATGCACAGTGAATAAATGTCATAGTCATGTTCAGCTGTCTGTAAACAAGCCCATTATTTTATGTTTAAGTAGTTTTAATGAAAGTCAAAAAAGCATTTTAGAATATTAGATAAGCACTCTAGCTATATTTCTAATCAAATTACGTTAAGTAAAACTATTATATGGGTTTGTATTTCTGCCCTGTTTGGATTTCCTCATCTGAATAATGGGAATTACAACTTTGAGTCTCTCATCTAAGCAGAGCTAATACAGCTCTTAGAAACCAATTTGCAAGTATTAATTCACTAATATGAGAACACAGGAAATAGTCATCCATAAGCTGCTGGATGATGAACATAATGAAGAAATTGTAACGCTACAGCTTGCAGATTTAGCAAGTGTCTTTTGGGCTGATAGCAAATCTGAAAAGATGGTGCTCTTATGCTAACTCACACCAGGGGAGTCCTGCATGGTTAACACGTTCACTTGCACAACAAAGTCAAGACAGTCTTTTACTTCTTCTAGTCTCAGTGGTACTCACTAGTTAAAAAATAACTAGCTAAAAAAATGGGTAAAGAGGGCCAGTTTTTACCATGTTACTTACCCTCTTTTAAATTCAATCTTCTGTTCTATAAGAAGGGGGCTAAACTTGTCTATCTGATGGGGTTTTGAATTATAACATGAAATCTTGCAGAAATGTTTTACATATTTCTATGTAGCTATCTGGGCTTTGAAAATATGTTGTTAATTTAGTCATCGCTCATCAATTATGTGGGCAAATGAATAGAATGAAAAACTTTCTGATGGAGGAGGTGAATGAGATCACAAATATCAAAATGTTCATTATCACCTGCACACATGGTGTAGCTACTTGTTCTCACACTGACAGATAGATCTGGCTTCTCTGACAATTTTATCAGCACTAGATATGAGATGGTCAACATTAAGTACTGCAGCAGGATGCTCTGTAAGTGTGCTCTGAGACACAACCACCTCAATAATACAAACCGTTTTTCATGCACTTCCTCTTCTGAAACTTCTTTCCGGTCATAAGGAGATCACTCCATATGCCTCAGATACTTCAAACAGCTATTTGTTCTGCAAATTCCCAGCAATTTGTGACTTCTATAAAATCTCCTGTTACAGGCAGATTTTTAAAGAAAATACTTCCAAAGTGTTTCGTGAAAGACTTTACTCAAGAAAATAACACTGAGCAGTCCAGCATTTTCTGTTCTTTCCCTCTTGAGTTATCTATTTGAGTTGTTTTAACCATTTTGGTTCTGTCTTATTTCCTAGAAGAGTCGTAGCCAATGCTGGTACTTCAGCTGTTAGCTAGGACCACAGTAAATTCTCTGCTATCTCTACTTATCATTTGTACAATAGAAATTCACTAAAGGTTACTATGAAGCAGCCCAACTATTATAATTATATGGTTCACAAATTTTGAATAAAATGTTTCTATAGAGTTACTTTGGAAACTTTGAGAAAAAAAATATTTGACTTCTCAGTTACTACTCCTTGTGTAGCCCCATAGTAAAATAATTAACCTTTCTGAGTCTAAACATTCTCATCTGTTAAATGAGATAATGTAGTGACTGGGGAAATAAATAAAAGAATGTATGGAAATCATGTAGTTTAGCATTTGGCACATAGTTAAATACAAAGCAAGTGGAAAGAGCATCGCATTAATATTTACTTGCACATCTTCTAGCAAATGTACTGTTTTCATGTTCTCCCAATTTAATAACAGTGTACTTAGAATTTTCATTTAAAATTTAAGACAAATAATTATTTCGAAGGTATAATGAATGAGTTTATAGAGTCCACACTGTTACTTCTAACCTATTATATTTCAGGTCCTGTTCTTTTCCTAGGACTGTGTTTTGTCTATAGTGAGATGGAACAAAGGAGACTAAGGTGTTTACTCTAATGGCCAGGGAGTCATTTGGGCTGGTGCCATTGCTAAACTGGGTGAAATTCTTCATTCCTCCCTAACCTGCTTTTTGGTCGTTGCTCTTGGTGTGGACCACCAGGTCATTCCCTCTGTGTTTATTGATCTAACTCCAGGCAATCCTGGAAGAAGAAGGTGCTATTTGCCTGACCTTGAGAGAAACATTCTCTTGCATTTCAGTTAATTCACACTAATAGCGTGGATACCCATCTTTCTTTATTTTACAGGTTTCTATCACTAGACATATTCAGATGCATTGACTTACTTATTATTGACTTACCTATTACAAATATCTATTGCAAGCCAACTAGGAGCCAGGCAGTTTTCTAGAGCATGCTTCCTTTGTCCTTTGAGGAACATTGTCAGCTCTATCTTGTCTTGCAGAGCCAGCTTGACGTGGCTTGTGGGCTCCCGGTTTCACTTCTTTCTTCTCGAGGGGACTATCCTTATAAGTCACTCTACCAGAAACACTTCACATATACATCAGTTCCACCAAGGGGAGAAAAAGATCATTCACTCTCAGCTTGTACCCACCCCAGAACAAAACATTGTAAGACACTATCTTATGCTGAAAAATTTAACAGGTTTTAAAGCATATCTCTGAAGTGATTTTATAACAGGTGACACAGAAGTTCTTCAGACTTTCGTAGCTTCCCAAGATTTGAAGGAAAGTACATTTTGTTTTAAACTGAGATCAAAACTAAACACAGAATATAAAAGGCACTTTGGCTTTGAGGTGAAACATACAGAGTGGGATTAATTCAAATCTGGAAAGCCTCTTTCATTCTGTCTATAGAAGAGGGCTAAGTGAGGAAAAGCTGTCCCTTCAAATATTTCACTTAGTTGGATACTTAATTTGAGGCTTACATCATTTACCTTTTATGTCACAGAAAAACTTGATCTCTCTATCTTTGTATATATGTCATCTCTGGAAGAGCTAAACCTAAACCACCTTTATCTGTAGCAAATTGACTAAGTGGGAAAGAATGCATTTATTTGTTTCTTTGTCTTTGATCATTAGCAAATGTACTTATGCCAGGCACGGTGGCTCACACCTGTAATCCCAGAACTTTCAGAGGCAAGGGTGGGTGGATCACCTGACCTGAGGTCAGGAGCCTAGTCAACATGGTGAAATCCCATCTCTATTAAAAATACAAAAATTAGTTTGATGTGGTGGTAGGTGCCTGTAATCCCAGCTGAGATGGTGGGAGAATCGCTTGAACTTAGGAGGCAGAGGTTGCAGTGCTCTGAGATTGTGCCACTGCACTCCAGCCTGGGCGACAGAGCAAGACTCCACCTTAAAAAAAAAAAAAAAAAAAAGAAAGAAAGAAAAAGAAAATGTAATTAATCTGGAACCTAATAGGTAATGGCTCTTGATTTTAACTCTTAAATACACTTTCGTATTTTTTACCAGATTCATCTGAAGTATATGTTTCTCAAGTCATGCAAAAAGTTTTCTTTGAGATAAATGAAGATGGAAGTGAAGCTGCATCATCAACTGGTAGGATGAATGATTTCTGGCCAAGCTAGGAGGAAAGATGGGGAGATGATAAACATTAGGGTGCTGGCCCTGTTGAAGTATTGTAATCTCCTTTTTCTCTCCTGTTGTCTAATACACTACAGGAGGGGAAAAAAGGAAATGGTTGTAGAAGCTGTTCATATTTCTCTTCAGTCACAGCATGATACAAAAAGGAAGGGAAGAGTTTTGATTAAGAGTTGAGGCTTATCTACTGGTATTTGCTGACTTGCAAATTGGATTACCTTCAAATTACCAGATAGGACCTGTGGAGAAAACTTTAAGGCTCAAACATAAAATCATTATTTTTTAGGAATGCTCACTCTTACATAATTGTATTTTATTTCGTTCTTTTGCTACACCAACTTTGTCCCCACTTTGCTCATTTGATTCTTATTATTACATCTATGGCAGTGGCTCTGAAACTTACCCTGCACATAAAAATCACCTGGGAAGCTTTAAAAATACCTATGCCCAGTCCATACCCCAACATAATTAAATCAGTATCTCTGGAAGTGAAAGTCAGAGTCCAATATTTTCTTAGGTTTTTCTAAGCGATACCAATGTGCATCCAAGAACCAGTGCTTCATATTGGCTTGTAGCTTGCCCTTTTTATTGCAAATGTAGTGCATAGACCAACAACAGCACCACTTGGGAACTTGTTAGAAATGCAAAATCTTAGGTCCAAAACCTAGACCTATTGAATCAGAATCTGCATTTTGCAAGATCACTAGGAAATTTATTTGTACATTCTAGTTTGAGAAGCACTCTTCTAGGCCATATTTTCTTGACCAAATGACATTTTAAGTAGCATCTATGCTGCATAGAAATAATGCTTGAAAAATAATTAGAAAAAGCCTTAAAATTCATTAGAAATGGACAAGCAACTTTAATGAATTCCTCATAAGTCTATTTTAATTCCTCATATGATTTGAATTTTAATCAATATTTAAAATGTTTTACTTATAAGTATATAAAAATTGATATTCATTTATTAAATTCTTTATTAATTTACAATGCTGCATCGGGGCAATGGATTTTGACATCTGAATGAAACACACTGGATGGACTCCATTACAATTTTGTCATCTCCTGAAGGATTTTGCATTGCTGTGCTCAAGGAACTAGGATTGTAGGGGATGAGCTATATTAATATTTGAAGAAGTCAAAAGCTTATATTTGGATGAAGTTGCTGGATCACGTAGACAAATTTTCCAGCTGCTTTTAAACAGTACTGAAAGAGTCCTTATAGATCTTTGTTTGATTTCATTATATTGGTGCACAGACAGGCCCAGCAATGGAAAGTGGCTTACCTGAGGTCAGACTATTGATTGACAGCAGAATTTGAACAAAACTCCAGTTCCCTGACTATAAGTTCAGAGCTTTCCGCTGTTGCCCACTGCCGCTCATTTTAAGTCTAAAATTGTCTAGGATTCTGTAACAATCATTAAGAGAAGGCAGATGAATCAACAATGAAACTCCTCAGAATAGTGAGCCTGGGTATTCTGACGTTCAGAAATCTACTCCGGGATTGCTCAAAAGCAAAGACATGCAGGTATTTACTGTAAATGGGAATAGGCGTAAAACTGACCTTGCTTTGAATTTTTCTTAATAACTCAGACATGAGCCTATATTCACTGGCTATTTGGGTAGCGTAGCCTTGATATTCTGGAGAGGAGAGTGTCATTTATGTTATCATACAAAGATTATATTTGACTGTTTTTCAATTTTAATGATACATTGTAATCTTCTTTTTCCTGGAGTCTGAAAATAACAGTACAAAATAATTGTATTATTGGTAAAGACAATCTCTGAATTGAGCATAAAAATATTTAGTTTGGAAAGAAAAAATAACCTTTTATATTTTCCCATTCTAATATTGACAAATGCTGTAATGGAGCAACATAATATAAATTATCAAAGAAAGTAATTTTTAAGGCAGCAAATTTCTGCTTTAAATCTCATAATAAAAATTTCACACATATTCACTGCTCAAATCCCAAAAGCTGTAAGCTCACAGAATAATTTTGAAAAAGTAAGTAAAAAAATTAATTTGAGCTCAGATGTGATTACCACAAACGTGAAGTATAAAAACGAAGTGCAAACATACCTAAATAGGAATTAGGAATTACAAACATTATAGAAATAAATCATATAATACAAATAAAAAGTGAACAGAAAATTACTGTTTAAAAGATAAATTTTTTTAACTACTTTCACTAAGTTGAATCTGGTGTCTGGCTTTCTTCCTCTCAGCATAAATATAAAAGTTAGAATGATTCTATGAGTGACCTAACATTTATTCTTCAGTACTTTGGTTTTTAAATGTATTGCAAATTCCTCTGTATTTAGAAAATTATTATTTTTCACATGTTAACTCCTTACACAAAATGACTTTTTCTATCTACAAAATGTATTATGAATATACTTACTTTATTGATCTTTTTAATGCAAATATCTAAATAACTGTTGCCTCAATTTTATAGGTATGCACATCCCTGTGATCATGAGTCTGTCTCGAAACCAATTTGTAGCAAATCATCCATTTCTGTTTATTATGAAGCATAACCAAACAGGTACCTTTTTTGAGAATTCTTTGGGGGAACTGATTATGTTAAGCAGAACTAGTTCCAGTTTCTAATTGGAATGTACATATCTGAAGTCATGTGTTCTTTCAGTGGGTATTTGTTAAGTGCATTTTACTTACCAGGTATTGTATTTTAAGAGATGACAGGAGCCTAAAATAGGGTGGTGGCAATAATAGCTGCCATCATGGCTACTATATATATGTGGTAGCCATTTTATATAACTATCACTAAAACTAAAACCACTCCAAAAAATTAGACATTTGACAAATAAAGGCACAAAAGCTCAGAGAAAGATTGTATAGTTTATCTCAGGTTATATAACTTCAAAGTGTCAAAGTGGGAATGCAGGTCAACTGTCCATGATGACACATTGGGGATGGAAATTGAGAGGTGTGGAGTTGTGAAAGAATTCAGAGATGGATATGAAAACAATAGGTGACAAACCTAGCGTAGGTTCTGAGGGGAAGGGAGGAGTCCAAGGTAATTTCAAATCTCCAGTTTGGGTGACTGGTGAAAGATGATGGAGTTTGGTAAAAAATTGAGTTTAGAAGTAGCAGACTGGATTGCCATTGGGCACAGTGTCAACACAGAAATCCAGATTGTCTGGATAGATGCTGCAGCACTTTCTCTTGTTAATAAGAGAAGCCAGAAATGTGAATACAGTGGGAAAATTGTCAGGTTTATGTTTAGGATCCCTCTGCCGTCATACTGCTCATGTGAGAGTTACCACGGGATAGTGGAAATTATATTTTACTCATCTCTGTATTCAGCCCAATATTTGCCAAAATGCCTTGCACATAATTAGTTTCCCTACAAACTGAGGGTGTAAAATTGGGTTGGGCTCAAGTTCCATCTGAATTCACTATCAGTTGTGAAACAAGTTGCTTGTCCTCTCTAAGCCACACTTTCTCTATATCTCATATGAACTTAATTGTAATAGTACTTGGGCCGGGTGCAGTGGCTCATGCCTATAATCCTAACACTTTGGGAGGCTGAGGCAGGTGGATCACAAGGTCAGGAGATGGAGACTATCCTGGTTAACATGGTGAAACCCCGTCTCTCCTAAAAATACAAAAAATTACCTGGGTGTGGTGGCATGCACCTGTAGTCCCAGCTACCAGCTACTCGGGAGACTGAGGCAGGAGAATCACTTGAATCCTAGAGGCAGAGGTTGCAGTGTGTGAGATCGGGCCACTGCACTCCAGGCTGAGCAATAGAGTGAGACTCCCATCTAAAAAACAAAAAAATGTAGTACTCATCTCATAGAGTTAAATAGAAGACTTTCTGAAACCTGTAACACTGTGCCTGGCACATACTGTGTTCATTATGAATAAATTAATAAATATGAATGAGTGAATAAAAGAAGAAAGGAAAGTGAAAAAGTATAAAGTCATTTACAGGAAGAAGAGACATAGTTAATCACAGAATCTGAATCCGTTAGGTTAACTAGGATACTAGTATTATTGGCTCAGTAAGGGATACATCATTCTTTTGGCTCAATGAAATTAATGCTGAGTGACCCTTCTGAAAGTCATATCTTAAAACAATGAAACAGTTTTAGAACTGATGAGAGTGCATTAACACAACTTCAATTGTGGTAATGGATGTGTCAGTGTTCAAATGTATTCTAAGTATGTCATTTGATCTATATGTTTAACTTTTGGATAATTCTAATTTGTTACAATTAATGTATAATTATGTACCATGGAGACAGAAAGAAAATAAGCTGCATTGAGCATCAATGTACAAGTAAATCATGGCATTTAGAATAATTATGTTTGACCCTATTTTCCAAGTTGATGACTTGTTATATGCTAAGGCCAAGTAACAGTTATCAGTAAAACAGCAGTAAAAATTCAAAACTCCAAAGAACCTACTATTTATTTATTTGTGATAATGCTTAACTAGCAGATCTTAATGACAGTTTGAACTGTTTTATGCTCTCTATTGTAATGAGACTTTCTAAACTAGGGTTACTCCTTTAAAGTATTGTTTAAAATAAATGGCCACTCATTGATCAGGGACTGTCCATTGTTGCTGTATAAGATGTAGAAAGAGCTGTTATCTTAAGACAATATATATTTAGTGATTTATCAATTTTTCTCTCACAAATGAACTCAAGAAATCTTTGAGATTAATGAAGATAGTGATTTAGCATCACCATAGTGAACTATTAAATGGCTTCATGGTGTACATAAAATGTGTTCTGTTGATGATTTCTGAAGTTTGAGGATGAATGATTTTAGGTTTAGTACAATCGATTTTTATATAGCCTGGAAATTTTCTTTTAGCCAAACGGTCCTTTTGTTCAGAATGTATACTTATTTGGATTTTCCTATCAGATGAATTTTATATTGCAGTATATTCATCTAAAGCCCTTACTAAGCTAAACTTCTAGGACAATAAAGCACCTTTTTAAGGTTGAGGATATAGGCCAACTTTATAAGTTTTGAGAAGAAAATTGTGAAAGATACTCATGAAAGTTACCATTCCTGAAAAAATAGTGAATTATGATTTTGAAATTGACAGGACTCCAGACATAATGAAAGTTATTGCATTTAGAACTCTTTCAGGTCATGCCAGCCGCGGTGGCTCAAGCCTGTAATCCCAGCACTTTGGGAGGCCGAGGCGGCTGGATCAGAAGGTCAAGAGATCGAATCCTGGTGAAATCCCGTCTCTACTAAAAAATACAAAAAATAGCTGGGAGTGGTGGCGCACACCTGTGGTCCCAGCTGCTCGGGAGGCTGAGGCAGAAGAATTGCTTGAGCCCGGGAAGTGGAGGTTGCAGTGAGCAGAGATCGCGCCACTGCACTCCAGCATCGCGCCTGGCAACGGAGCGAAACTCTGTCTCAAAAAACAAAAAACAAAAAAAACAAAACTCTTTTAGGTCATGCGTTGAGGGCAGAGACAGATTGAAGAATTTTCATTAAGAATTTCTTTTCTGGCCATTAGCTTGGTAATGCTATTGTATTGTAATATTAGAAAGTCAAATTTGCTTTCATCTGATGAAGATGTTGTATAAAATATTGATTAAATATAGAGGACACTTATTTAAGAAGAAGGCATGAAGATAAAAAAAATATTTTTGCTTCAGTCTGCCTCTAAATTCTTTGCTATTATGTCAAGGGAAATTTTACTAATCTGCCCAATTTAGTAGTGAGTAGATTGATGATGGCATGAAGACTCAATAAAAAATGTGAGTCTTCCTGCAAAAAGAAACAGATTGAAAAGGCTGGGACTAAAACAGATTGAAAAGGCTGGACTTTTATGTGATATTCTGCACTTCTAGGTATTTAAAATTTTAAGATATTGTCTTCAACTATAAGATAGTGTTTGTAGAAGTTACTTTAACATTTTTCCAAAGAAACTATTCTGATGTACATTTTAATGCAATAGCGTTATAGCATTAGTATTATGAAGATATAGGAGTCACTGCCTTTTCCTATTGTGACTAAATTTAATATCTATTCTGGGAAATGTATTTATGTATCTTTATCTGTCTGAAATATTGGGGTATTTTCTTTGTTCCAGAATTATTTTAATATTTTGAAACAGAACATCGTTAACTATAATTACTCATAATAAAAAGTAAAATCTGCTGGAGTTTATGTCTATTTCCATGTTATTGGTTCTTCAAAGACAGTGTCTTTGGATTGAATAGTAGGGTTAATAAAAAAGGGCTGTCCCACAATTATTTCAACTACATTTAAATATCATTTTCATTAGCTTTAAAATTATGCAAAACTTATCACCTTTGAAATTAACCTTTATTACATCTGAGCATAAGTTACTTAAGGCAACATTTGACATTGACTCATTCAATCTACTTCTCTTAACCCAGTTGAAAAGAAAGGTGAATAGATTTTAGTACATTATTCTTTCTGTTCTGTTCTTTAGTTCTTAGTTCCTTTTCACTTACAAACACAGAATGGCTGAAAACAGGTATTTTCACTTATGCCATATACCATATCAGTTTGGTGAGGATTTGAAAGTATTAGCGATATAAAAATATTGTCTTTGGCAATAAAGTAAGCTTTGATTCAGAGCTGAAGGAGGAGAACTGTGAAGTTGCACTTTTAACTCTGAAGACTTACATTACATGCATAAAATGACGACTGTTAATGCCTTGAATTTAAAACTCTACTACGCTCATCACCATTTTATTATGCTATGTTCGCTGGACTGGGTCTCTATATTTAGAAGAACACCTCTCTGTCACTTTATTTTTGCTTCCCTCTGTAAAAAAACAGAATTAATGCATTTTCCATGACAAGCTGTAGTGGGTGGTGATTTACTTCATAAATTACCAGAAAATGATTAATAATGATATAATTGTGAATTTGAGACAAAAGAGAAGGCTTTACTATTAGACACTGCCTATTTATCTTACAGAGAAGAAAGACCGAATGATAAATATTAAGAAAAACTAATTATTGTCAGTTGTTTTCTCCAGAAATTACTAAAGTATATTTGTTTTTTTCCCCTAGAATCAATTTTGTTTATGGGAAGAGTGACGAATCCTGACACCCAAGAGATGAAAGGAAGAGATTTAGATTCACTGTGAATGAAAAGCACAGCCTCAGAATAAATGATGATTTCTGGAAAATAGTTGATTGGTGAAATATCATCATCTTGACAATATTTGCTCTACATCTTATTTCTTTTCTGTTTTAAATTATGCCTGTAATAATAGAGATCTGTCTTGATGAATAAGTAAAATTAGGTATGCATTTGTTTCTGTTCTTTCTGTATGTTTTAGAAAGTCTACATGAATATAAAGCAGTGAGTTTATATAAAATATTACCATTCATAAGTTAGAATAATCCTGTCTATAATATCTTAAATATTAAATTCTTGTCTTAGACATCAAATTCATCATATCCTAAAAAATTGGACTATTAGACTTAGGCATAGCATCATTAGCCATGGGGAAGTAAGATCAAGAGACCACGGACATGGTACATGCCTTCTGGGGTGTCACTTAAGACACAGAGATCCAGTATTCCTGGCAGTAGAGGAGCTCTGGGTATTTTACGAATCTTAACTTGTTATTTGACATAGTGCATTTAATATTTATCTTGTTTCAGTTCCTTTTGGAGCAGACCAATTTTTTTTCTACTAATTTACGGTTTAAAAATGTACACAAAGTAGAAATGCTGAGCACTTTTGTGAAAGATTCTTCATTTTGTAGGTGAAAGTAGCAGCCAAATTAGTGTGACTCAGGAAGCTGACCTTCCACAATTTTACAATACTGAGCCAAGGAAGTGTTAGAGTCAAGTTTGTGTTCTATAAAGATTAAATGCAGATCCCTTCCCATGAATACTCTGAAACATCACATCTAAATATCAAAAACTAAAACTACATTCTAGTATTACTTTATGCAGCATGTTTCACAGTTTTTCCATTTTCAAGCAAATGATATAAAATGTCTTTTTGTTTGTTTGTCTTGGAAATTTTGGCAGAGAGCTTAATGATAATGGCTACATCTCACTGAGCCCTAATTGTGTGTTGAGCTCACTGAAGTAAGCACTTTTACATTATGTTAAATGTACTAAAATTTTTGTGAAACAGTGTTACCTCACTTCCTGATAAAGAAACTAAGACTCAAAAAAGTTATATAAATTAAAGACACATAACCAATAAATATGGTAGGTAGATCTGAATTCAGAACGACTTGAGCTAGAAGTCTGTGAGCTTAATTACTAAGTTATATTCCCTTTGCAGGGAAGGAAAAAATAATTTTCTTCTAATTCTCATAGTTTTGAGCTAGTATCCCTTGTAATAAGAGACAGGACAGCCAAGTGTTGTGGCTTACATCTGTAATCTCAGCACTTTCGGATGCTTAGGTGGGACGATCACTTGAGGCCAGGAGTTCAAGACCAGCCTGGGAAACATAATGAGGTCTTGTCTATAATAAATTAAAAAAAAAATACCCAGGTGTGGTGGCACATGCCTATGTTCCCAGCTACTGGATAGGATAAGGCAGGAGGATCACTTGAGTCCAGGAGTTTAAGGCTGTAGTGAACTATGATTATGCTACCGTACTCTAGCCTGGACAACAGAGTGCGACCTAATCTCAAAAAAAAAACCAAAAAACAAAAAACCAAAAGATTAAGAGAAACAAAGACATTTGTTAACATGTATACCGCATGTACACATAGCAGATACCCAGGGAAAAATGAGTAAATCTCAAAGAAGTGGCTTAGAACTCTGGCTTACATAGCATCTTGGATTTATAAGGGCAGGACCTTGGATTTATATGGGCAGTAAATTGTAGAAAGGCAAATATATGGTAGATAAAGGCTATTTTGTAAAATTTGTTGTGTAGATTCCTGTGGTGATATCTCCAGGATGATAAGGGTCTCAAGTCATCTTCAGTGATCAAACTCTGTCCTACTTGGTAGAAAGAGTGGAAGGATGAGTTGGGGGAGGGCAAATAACTTTTCCTGTATCTACTTATTCTCAGTTGCCTTTAGCTCAAAATAATCCTATGCCAAAGTGGCATCTTTTGGGGTGCCAGATTCTGCTGCCCTTCCCCTCTACTTCAGTCTCCAAAGACTAGGTATCCATCTACAGCAAAACCTACAGCAATACTCAAGGCATTATGAAGCCAACTTTAGAATGAATTGTGATTGCTTAAAAATCATAACATAAATGAAAGAATGTTCATCTCTCTACTTTCAATTTGAGTTTACTTATATATAACACAGTAAATACTAATCTACATGTTAGTGATACACATTTGGGGCATAAATTCCTCACAACCTATCTTTTTTAAAAATGTGAGTCTGATTCAGGAAGGAGAGAATAATGAGTTAAGAGGACAGGTGTGATCCAGATTCCTGCTTCTCTTGGGTTGCCTGAATTCTTCTGATCCTTTTTCATGCATCATATGTCATGCTTTGGGGATTTAATCATTTCACAAATATTAATTGTTCTTTGACCATGTTTCACATACTTTCCTAAGCACAAGGGATATATCAGTGAGCAAATCTGTCAAGGTCCTTGTCTTTCTGGAGCCGACATTTTACTAGTAGCAGTAACCAGTGAACAAATACAAAAACAAGCTAATTTCAAATGACAGCAACTGATGACACTAATAAAATAAGAAAATAAGAGGAATTTCAATAATTGAGATAAGGTGACTACTCAAGTTTCACTTTAAGTACATGTTCTTACAATATGTTTCTAATGTATCTGTAATCTGTTTCCTTTAATAAGATTTGCTAAAAGTCTGCCTCGAGTTCCCTACTGAGGATCCTGAAAGCATTATACAGAAGTTGGGTAATTTTTTTTTCTGATTTCATGTTCTTCCAGTTTGTGTTATTTGGCTTAAAAATGGAAGCGTCGTCCATACGCTCTTTATGGAAGAATGAATAGCCTTCTGGTGTGAATTCCAGCTAAAAAACACCCTTTTCTACCCTACTTTGGGTATATAGTTGCCAAACCATTTCTAAAATTAAAACATTTAATCTTTACCTTCAATTGCAAGTAACTCAGTAGTTATTACAAGTTCATATCATAAAGGTTACAAGTGTCTGGAATACATTTAGAAAACATAAACCTATTTATGAAGGAAAATAAGTATGAGATACTTTTCTTTCCTAAACTATACAAAATCTGTAGGATTTGCAACAGTCTGTAATCAACATGGGATAAAATTATTGTCAAATTAACACCCCTTGTAAAAGTCTAGTATGTAATATATATTGGAAATATTTTTACTCCTCATGGAGGCAAATTAACTTTTAAAATAGTATTTCTGTTGGAAACTTTGAAATCGGTTTTCATTGACTTCACATAGCCATAATTCTTGGCATATTCTAGAGGAGCTGTTACTACACTGAACTTGGGTCTGCCTGCCTAGCACAGCAAGGCCAAATAATGATGTGGGGATTTGCAATAAGAAAGTGAGGAATTCATTGCAGGGCAGCAGGCAAGGAGAATCAGGCAGCTCGTGCTTAATATCTGAAGTACCCAGTGGCTTTACTATAAGGCTTTTTAAAGGCAGGGAGGCAGAGGTTACAGGCAAAACCATAAGTCGATACATGGAGGCTATACATTGGTTTGGCCTGAAAAGGTGGGACATATTGAAGCAGGTGAGATGGGAGGGTGGCATGGCCCACAGATCACAGGTGGATTCAAATATTTTGTGACTTATTATTGGTTTGTCTTTGTCTAAAATTTTGGATCAGCAGAAAGGAGAGTTGAGCTCTGGCCTGTGAGCAAAATTTCCTTCAGTTCCCTCAGGAAGAAATTTAGAACAAAGAATGACAGAGTTAAGTCTTCAGTTCCTCCTTATCTGAGATCTATGTGCCAGCAGATGGCTTTCCATGTGGTGAGGGGTCCAGGTTTCTGAAAAACAACTCAGGGACATATGTGAAGATTTCATCTTTAGTTTCTATAAAGAACCAAACACTGGCTCTAGCTTCCTTGGCTATCGTTTTAAGCTCTTACTGCATTCTTGCTTATCAGGTTGCTCATTTACTTCTCAGGGCTAGGTTGGTGGCTGGAATTTCCCCTGAAGGAACTCAAGATTTTTCTTTTTTTCCATGCTTTTGGGGTGGCAGGCCCCTAGGAGAGATCCCTGTTCCTTCTCAGAG